CCCTTGAGGGTGAGTCTAGCCCTGCTCGCCAGAAAGACCCCCCCCTTCACTACAACCCATGTCTAAGCAAAAGCGTGTCGAGGAGCGAGGGGAAGAAGGGAGTCACCTATGTTCAGGAAAAAAACGGAAAAATAATTGACAACACTAAAGAGATGTTTGTCCGTGCGCCACAGTTCCATGCCACCGGCATGCTCCGGTTCCGCTGCTCCGGTGCCGCTGTGGCCAGTCCTAGCACGACCAAACTCGACCCGCTCCGCTTCGTACACGCTCTCGTTGCTGTCCTTCCCAGTCGGTTCCTCGCTCTCTCCCTCGTTGCACTTACTTAGACCAGGAGGATTATTGTGGTCTGAAAATTATCCCGCCGAAGGCCTGTAGGCTCGCGCATCTGCACCAACCTTTGTACCTGACGCACCAATGCCGACCCAACTCCATCACTACGCACGCCTCGCGGCGGGTCCGCCGCAGCAAGAACGTATCGGTCCCTTGAGGGTGAGTCTAGCCCTGCTCGCTAGAAAGACCCCCCCCTCGCTACGGGTCATGCCTACGCAAAACCTTGCCGAGGCAACGAGGGGAAGAAAGAAACCCCTTCCTTGGTGTCACGTGATGGCCCAAATACTCCGAAAATGTACGTCGAAACACGGGGTTTCGGCGCTAAGGCCAGTAGTATTTTATCGTGGACACGTTGGGTACGATACTACACCAGTTGCAAGCACAGAGCCAACAATCTCCAGCTCACAATCTCGCAGGGATCCAAATCAACTTCCCCATTGATGTTGAATGGCAGCCACACAACATGTCTGAATGAAGGTATTGGTAGTCGGTGCAATACGCCACGGGCAAGATATAGACTACCCGCCCAGAGGGAAAGTGTATCTTGAGCACCTTCAGCGGTTTCATATCCAACAAAAATCTATAGACACCAGAGCCACCAACCACAGCAGATCAGCAAGGAGCGGGCGGGCGTGACCTCCCAGGGCCAGCCAACCAGCGGCAGGTGCGGGTTGTGTTTCAATGTTTTCGCTTGCCGGGGGGCACGTAGAATGCAGGTCCATTCAGTAGGGGTGGCCTCATAGCTGCGAAGACGCGAAGACTTTTCTTTTCCCAGAATCGTCTCTCTTGTTGACGATGCATATTGTGGGCTAGAAGTGTACAGCAGTACACCGGTGTATGTCTGGCTACAAGCTACTACTGTGTGTGTGTGTGTGCTTTCGCCGGGCTCGGGCTGCCGACTGCCGCAGATAGCCACTAATCCAAAAGAGGGTCGGCGAGCCAGCTTCTGCCTTTTGAAGCGACGTTCTTGTACCGTTCCAGAAAAAAAGCCAGGAGGAGGCGAAACACGTTTTCGTTTCGGGGAGCCAGCTGCACTGCACGTGTGTGCAGCAAGGTCGGTTTGGAGATCAACACACACATCATCTTTCACCTGCTGCTGCCACAGCTAGATACATCTGCCGCGCCCACTGGAGAACGAACACATCGACTTGCCCAGATCCCACAGCAAGCCAGGACCAGTGGACGGGGATTCGAAAGGAGAGGTAGCGAAAACACGGAACGGGAGAGCGAGTAGGGCGGACGGACGGACGGACCAACTGGACGACGGACGGACCAACCCTGGCGAGCGCTAATAACAACACGTCTTCGCAATGAGCAACTTCGTGGTTAACCAGAGCCTGTCCATCAACCAACGGAGGTGCGGTGCAGTTCGTAGGGGTAACGCATACTCTACGAGCTCTTGGTGCAACGGCAAGCAGTAGCAGCAGCAGCAGCAGCGGTACAACAACCTCCTTCTCTCGGGTGACATACCAGACAAATCTGACAAAACGCACTCAAGAAGGCAGAGGTGTAGCGCCCTATATTCCAATGCAGCCAACACGTGTTTTTCACGTGCTTCCAACTCACAGGCATCTTCCATCCGTCTTGCTCTGTTGGCTTCACACCACGCTCCCCTCCTGCAGCAATCTCTTGTCCGTAACAGCTCAGTTGGATCGACGCGTAGTTGAGGTTATCACGATCGTGCGCATCGAATTTTCTGTGGGCAGATTTGTTTCGGATCAATCTGAGTAGGGGTCCTACAACTTCATGTCAACCTGACCTTATCTTGCCTAGCGTTGTATGCGTAACATGTACAAGTAAAGCAGTATCAACTGCCGCGTGCCACTGCCATATCGAACACGCACAGCAACGTCCTTTGAGACGTGGCAACGCGCTCGAATTCGGATGGACAACTTGCTTTCCCGACGAGAGATGCTGGTGCAGCAGCATCTACAGCACCAGTAGTGCCGCCGCCCCTTCCTCCTGCTGGTTGATGTTGAGCGTTGCTAGTGCGCAGCAGCCGGCAGCAACAGCGGCATCATGATGAAGTCCGTCAGCCATGTCACCCTCGTGATCCAAGGGGGTCAGAGCGTGCAACCACGGGAATCTTGCTTAGTATTATACCCCTGCTCTAGCCCTGTGGTCAAGCGCTTCTTGCTTGCGCTGCGCCGAAGCGATTGTAGTCGGTTCGTTGCAGCAACGACGAACATAATAATCGGACGGGTTGCTTTTGAAGGTTTGCTTGCTACAGCAGTAGGACCTGCAAGAAAACGCATGACCAGGTACAATTATATCCAAGGCCTCTGTCCGTGGATCTCCACGTGTGAAAGCCAAACAAACGACGGCATGCACAGCGGTAGATATCAGCGTAGTTGTTCTCGAGTCGAGAAAATAAAAATGCTATCGTGGGGCGGAGAACGTCCGACGCTGTCGTTGTTGTGCTTGTCCGCTGTCGGGGATGCTGAAGGCGAAGACGGCGATGCCCCATGGACACAGACAGCGGGGTGGCATTGAGGATGGCGCGCTGCCTACTTTAGTTGAAGTCGTCCATGGTTGGGCGCAAAAAATGATTGTCGGGTTTAGCCCGATGGGTTGGAACAAGACGAAGCAAGGTGATGATCACCCCCCGTGCCGGTGGGCTGGTCGTTGGTCGTTGGTCGTTGGTGGTCGGGGGAAAAAACGCATGTCTAGCAGCAGTATGCGGAAAGTCCGCCGTATTATGCATATACCCTCAGGGGGTGGGGTGTACTCATAGTCGTGCATGCCGTAGTCGTTAGACCTTTGACCTCGCATCGCTACAAAGCCGGGACGGAGCACGCCGGGTTCTCACCGGACCAGGCTCTCACATCTCCAAGCGCGAAGCGCCGTGAGATATTCGGCGAGTCCCATGTAAAACATCTGCTTTCTGGAAGCAGGAAGAAGTCCTTACATGTTCAGCTCCCGCATCGTCGTTTTGCCACCCTTTTCCACACATTTTCTGCACCCCGCTTTGGGCACCCTATAATACCCCATATCTCAAACTCCACCTCCTGTTGTTATTTGTGCAGTATGAGATAGATATGCATAGGTCAAACGCTGTGAATAGGTTGAATGTGAGGCATGTGTAGGTAGGTCCCTACAAGATTCAGCAGTACAGCGTGCGTTTGGTAGGTGTATGGCTTGGCTAATGTGTGGGTGAAATATGAAGCAGAAGTTTCTTGCCACGGCGGGTCGACTCCGGAATGAATGCGTCTAGACGCCACATTCCGTTCCGACGCTATCCACGGACCGCGTCTTTGCAAGATTTTGGGACCAGCAACTGACACGAGTTTAATGTAAAGACAAATCAACAACTTGCCGTACATGTTTCGTCGACTTGTTGTTGTTGTTGTTGTTGTTGTTGACTTCACATTAAACCGTATGCCAGTTGCTAAATGCCAAAATCTAGCAAAGACTCTCAGCCCGTGGTCACGAAAGTGCTAGAGCCATCTGAGGATCTAAAGAACACGCACACGT